ATTCCCCTATGTATATGATCCGTAGAATTAAGTGAAAACTTAGAGCAGATGAAAACAACAACAAAATGCAGGATAATTGAGAAAGCTACTTTTTTGCAATTCACCGTTAGGAGTAAACAAGAAAGAATCCATTGTTTCACCGAAAATAATACAGTTCCCATCTTATTACTGAATGCAAATGTAACAAAGCGTATAGACGAATAAATCAAAGTAAACATATTACAACAACACTGACTGACTGACTGGTTTCAACATTGAACTTTGCACTGATGTGCAGCAGTTCGAATCCCCACACTTCACTTAGCACACAAAGCCAGCGAAGAAAGTAAAAAGAAATGCAAAATAGAGACAGTAAACAGAGATATGAGGCAAAAAGAATAGTAATACCGAAGAACTGTATAGTTTTATTAGAAATTATAAGTCACAAGGAGTAGATGCAGCTGCCACAGCCATCACCGAGAACGATTTTGAGCCATACCACCAATTGTCTCCAGCTGTCATTAGTTTTTACCATCCCAAAGACCCAAACCAGGAAGTCTACGTGGCTGGCTTAAACTAACTGTTGTGTATTTCATTGACTGATGAAGCCATGTTTTGGTTTGACCACGACCACCAATAGCTTTCTCTTTTCCAACCTGATCCGTCCTATGTCAAAGAGGAACGCGATGGCTAGACATGCGTAACACATGTTCTAACCATCTCTTTCAATCGATCCAGCTGCTTCACAACCTCGTCGACTGATATCCCCTCCTTACTTGTCACCTACCACTCAACCGAAGCCTAACCTCAATATTACTCACCCTATTATACCACCACATCACATGGGAGAAAGAATACAAGTACCTATGATCAAAGACAGTTAACCAGCCTTTACATGTCTTCCACTTTCAGTGAGCGTGTCTTCCTCGCCTCCATTGAAGAGGACGGAGCGAACTGCTACGCTGCTGAGCAATACACATGTCCTTTGATCACCGTCCAGCCGGATATCACATCTACAACACAGACGGGGTATACCGACATACGCGAAACGAGCCTTCAATATCTGTGCTGAAATTTCGCCAGCGATCAACACTAACACAACACACACAGAGGGTTTAATTCGCTTTCCAAACATACTCAAAGTATTTTAAGACGTAAATATCCAGTGCTTTTTATGTAGACAAAAATGACCACCGTTCAACGCTTACTGCTACAACGAGGTCAGTCAACAAATCCTAACTATTCAGTATGCCAGATTAATTAATGATTAAAACAGACTAAAATTACCCGGCTGAGCGTGATCTGAAAGTTAAAATTGATCTTCACTATTTAGAGAGGTATATATTTGACAAAACAGCTTTTTCATTAATACCGAAGTAACAAATCTCGATTTCCTTTTGGTAACTTTTCTATTTCGTCCCAAATAACCAAACCTTTACCTTATATTCATTATTTTTATTGAACTTTTTTATTCGGTCAACATTTACAAAGTCTTTACAATCACATATCGATTTCTTGTAACTTCCCAACCTTGAGCAATAAATCTCAGTCAATTTTAGTGTAAATCTCGCCACAAACCGAAATCAATAAGACAACCACTAGAAACTAGTTTGCTTCGTCTTGTAGAAGACACTCATGGATCGACAAGTAGCTTCGGTATGACCACGCCTAATCCTTTACCAACATAGTCGAGAATCACCTAATATAACTCATCGAGGAAGCCGACGACTCGGTATTAATGGTTTGTGTTCTAGCCACCTCAATCAATTCTATCTCACCTCATCGATTGACTTCGTTTCCTTACATAGCGCACTCCACGCCTAACCTCAATCCTACTCATCATATTTTATCACTTAACACGTACAGGATGCAAACGTCTGTAGACAAAGACAAATAACATTTCCATACCCTCCACTTTCAAACGCTAGTTCGCACAGCCATCAAGAAAGACAGAGTGAGCCACTGCACACCACATACATCCTTTAATTGTTAGACTGATATCAAGTCCACACCAGAGACGACTTAAACTGACAAATGCCACGCCAGCCTTCTATACCCATGCTGAGATTTCGTCAGCAATCTGAGTTGATCCAACTTCCTAAATAAGTGAAGTGGTTAAAAGGCAGTACAACTCCCATTTCACTGCATACATCAGGGTCGAACTTGTAATACATCTGGGTAGGATTATACCTACAAATTCTGTATTAACAGAAAGTCGACATTTAAAACTCCACTACTAAGCTCTGTTCATACATCGACGTCGCACATGACTGCCATATACCTTCAAAAAGTACATCGTGGACCACTCGGTAGAGTAGTTAGTAAGATAAAACTAGTTGCAAATGGAATCTTGAATGTGAAGTCTTGCAAGTGCCTGTGGCTCTAACTGAATACAGTACAATCGACTGTGCGTATCAACAACAACCTGGTTTTTATTATACCGCATATACTATCTCCATCTAAACTAAGGGATAGATCAAAGCCAAATTCAGTGAAGATACTTGAAAATTCTTCACATCACTAAACAAAAGCCAACGAAGAGGTTCGTGAATTCGAGATCTAATCGGATCTAGATTACTCACAAGAAACTCTAATAGTTTAACAGTAGAGGTTGTCCTATTTCTCAAATAAATGACGCTAACACAAGATAAAATATGACCACTACCTACTGAAAGTAGTACTCTGAGAGTCTCACATGCAACTGTCGACGACTTTCCAACCGCAATTCTACCGGCTAACACTCAGCAGATAAAAACTAGAGCGAATAAAAATTAAAGTATCCACAATTGTGTCAATTCTTAGTAGTAGGAGAGCCGCGTCCTGTAGCAGCCTCCAGGTTACGGTGACCAACATACATTTGTATGCTGCCAATTTTTTTTCTTATCCGGACAAGTGATGTCCTCGGGGAAAGTTAATATAAAATAAGCCTGTTCTCCAATATTTTCACATCCAAGTTGTTCTGACAACCACGAAGAGATGAGTGAAAGCAACTTTCAATACGGTGTTACACAACGACAGTAGCGAATCATGCTCGTGTAATATTTATATCATAAAACTCATATGCCAGTGCTCTCATAATGACACCATTTGTTACAGAAGGGTTGACAGAAACTCAATCCAAGATGGAGTCAAGTGCTAAACTCAGCATGCTTTATGAAGACTATTAAGTGCGACGGATGAGTACAGAATCCCAGTCAGTGAGCGACATCTATTGTTGATACTATGAAAATGTCAATAAGTATTAAATCCTACGTCACCCATGCATGAAGAGGTTGGCTTCATTCAGGCGTGCGATACCAACCTGTCGTATTGGCAATTAGCAAAGGCTGCCATTAAAACAGCGAGCAGATGGATGGCTACAGACAGTAGAGGACTTAGAATGACATCGAGTTACACGTAAAGCTGTAGTAATCTTATTTGTAATACCTAGTATCATCGACAGTTCAAAGTAAGAATACATCTAAGGGATAGCAATGAAATAATAATGAGGTTATGGTAACACCTATGAGCTTCAAGAGTGCATTCCCCACATATTGCACACTTCGACAAAGTATAAAGCTCTCCCATGTGAATAATAACCTACAATTTACCAGTCATTGTTAGAAATCCAAATAGGTGAAACTCACTTGCGTCAACGTGACATGGCTTACTAACAAATCAGATCATGGGTGTTCGTGTTTTATCCCTCAGTCGATGATACTGAGACCATGAACATCGATGACATCATGAAGCTGCGTCGACTGTGATACCTAGGTCAGACGTTTAGCATGTTAAGCCGTAATCGAGCAATATCAGCTGAAAAAGGCTACAGACCTTAAACGCCGTATTCCCATGGGGTTACAGGGTTGCCCAATGATTAGGAGGAGGATTTAGAAAATTAATGTCAGCCCTGGATTGAAAACAGTTGCATACTTCAATATAGCCGCATTCAATCCCTTCCGAAAAGCATGCACGTGCCGATAACACCAGACATGAGGACTTTCCCACGACCAACGTACTCCGCCGTACATATCACACAGGATTTTTGGGAAAAAAAGAAAAGAAAGGAACCAAACATGTAACTTGTATCTCTCAACTTCCTTTTCTCCTTGTAGTAAAGGGCTTATGCAATTTTTTTTAAAGCACTTCTCCAATCCCAGAATACTTTCAGAAATTTAAATGGAGAAAATACGAGTGATTCCCAGAGAAATTGGATGACCACAGTTACAAATCGAAACGACTAACACCGGCTACAAAACCCTGCTAACACTATCAAATCGAATATGGAGTTCACTTTGAGAAATAATTAGCAATGGTCATGTAATTACGTGTCATCTATCAAAGAAAACATTGACTGCTGTTTGAAGTTACATAAAACCCAGACTGCCCAACACGTTAAAAATCGACACCTAGAGGTCATTCGTGATATCAGTCAAAACTATTCACAATGAGGCTAATAGATCCAATCTCTTTGTACTGTCAGATCCAACTCATTCTCACTATGCTCCTCTTTGTCATTCTGTTTCACGTTATACTCCGTCCGTAATAACTGCCGATTACTTTTAGTATATTTGCAACTCATGGAATATCAAGTACAAGTGCGATGAATACGATCAGAATTCTGAGCTGAAGACTCAGTTTTTCGAGCACTTATCGATGTAAGTCGTTTCAGCAAACTAATCTTAGGAGCTACTTGTGATGCATTTAAAGTCACAGCTAATCCGTTAGACAAGTGAGAACTAAGCAGCTTCAGAGTTTCGCAATCAAGTAAATACGTCTAGAAGTCTACATCAAAGCAGTGACAAGTCATCAATGACCAGTTATAATACATATCCTGACTATTACTATTGACGACATATCAGCTGCTCAAACTCCTATAACGGAAACAAATACCTGCGAATCTTCATGCCTTATTCTAAGATGTGTGCATTACCCCCTAAAAACGCACAACTATCTCATATGAGACAGTCAGACCAGAAACAGTGCTAAGAGGCGGAACAAATCGTGATGGATAAAACACCGACCAAATAGACCAAACCAAATCAGTTATTTCCATAAGTTTATTGAATCCATCAGAAAATACAAAAGTTTACCGAGTCTTCTTTCGATAGCTACATCCTATAAGAGCAAAAGTTAGGTTAAGAAGACTTCTAGAAATTACCATCAGCCAGTCGTGCTCGACCCCCCGTGGGTTGGCACAATATCCGATCACATCCAGGGCAAACAACTGGAGTCTGAGCATGACTAAAAACTATCTGAATTTTAAGACATCCTACACAGTCAAATTTATTAGTGAAACTCACCAGAACACTTAACATCCATGAAAAAGGAGTTCGGTGATGGGACCAACCGTTTAAGCTTGCATTTTCGCTTCTCTTCCCGGAAAGATGGGTGCAAAAGATCACGTGCGAGCTAAAAAAGGAAAATCGTACCATAATTAAGAACTACTGAGTGAGTAAGATGCTGTTAACACAGATGATGACCAAAACCACATAGTACAACTAACCGGCATGGTACAAGCACTTAGAGCCAGCTAAAAGTGTCCGCCTAAACCAGTTGCTTAAACAAGGCCAGGTTTTAGTGTTCAATAGAATCTCGGCGTCGAATGGTCAAAACTTTTAAAATATGTGTCACATCTTTCTATTACTTTCCAAAACATTTTACTTCACACACAATATTTCATCTTCCGTCCCAAGAGTTTCAAGGTTTACAATCAAGTGAACATTGAAAACTAAACTTCCATTCATTCATTTTGCGAATGTATATTCTCGTTTATCTATAATTATCTTGAAAACGAAGGCAAGACTTGCGTGTAACAATTCGTTCACTGAGTTCATAGCTTCGGAAAATCTTCTATGTGTTATTCTTAGTTACGTAGGCAGTTTTCGCTAACATTAACATTAAAAATATAAAAACCACTCTAACATTGAAGCTTTTATTCTCGCTTCAGTTTGCCATAAATGTGTGTTACCCGTATAAGGACTCTAACCGGACTAATTCACTCACACATATTATACCTATACGGAAACTAATTTTACATAAGCCTGTGGAATATTCACCGTCGTATTACTGAACGTTGGTTTTCGCTTGCTATATATATATATATGTATATATATATGCTGCGCTGCCATACACTTTTTCGTTAGCCTAGCGTCTTTCGAGATCTGGTTTCGTTAACATTACACATATTCAAGTTTTCACTTGTGCTTCTTAGTACGACGTTGTCCGCCATTGACCGTGTACTGCACTAGCAACTCGTAGAACGCGAATATATGGATGTAATATATTATTATGATCGGGTTAATAATTGGTACACTGTGAATTTATGGTCTGTGTGGCTTTATTGCGTTTACCCTGTAACTGTGGTGTTGTTGACAATTGCAATAATGCTTTAATAACAAGTTACGTTATCCACATGCTTTCTGGACAAAGTTTTGCGTTGAAAAATTTTTCTAACGTACATAATATCTACACGCTTTATGTACCTGAAATTAGTTACATTGTAAGGTGAGCAGATAAGACAATGAGGAATGGAATATATTTATTGGGGAAAAACGCGTAAGGTTTATACAGTTTTACAACATTCAAAGTCGGCCAGGTCAACTGAGAAAAAACTGTTCCCATCGGTTGGCGATCTGTTCTGGGTTAAACGAAGGGGGTGAAAAGGCGCCCAATGCCATTATTTAGGGGCCAGAAAGTCAACTAAATCTACTTCTTCAGCCACTAACTTTATTTAATTTTGGCCGCTTTCCATCAATCCTCATTTACATAGCAAACGCTACAACATTTCCCGAACTACTAGCTTGATACTGATATATACACAATGTGATGGAGTTAAGGAGGCATTAGGTTCAAAATTTAAACGTATATTTTTACATTTCACTGTATTGTAATAGTATATTTGGCCCATGTAACAAAGCTCTTTTGCCCCAAATGGATTTGTATTCGCTAGCAATCATCCCATCATATCAGCAATGATTTCTGTTTTCGTACATTCAGCACAGAATACTTTCGGTTTTTAGACAGATAACATCAGTAATATGAGCACAGTTTGCGATATTGTGGTGAACCTGTTTCTCAGATGGCTTTTATTTTGAGGAAACATTAAACTGCTATAAGATTCCCATTTCACAAACATAATTTAGGCTCACGTGTTCAAGGAGGGTTATATCAGAAGCTTCATCAGAAAACTTTATTTCGCAGTTTATTTGCAGTAGTCCTATTAAGGATCAAGTTGTGATGTAAATTCACATGAAGCAAAAGATTATGAATGCTGCGCTCCCTCTTCATCACAAGAAAATTAACAGTACATAGGAATTAATTCACAAAATTTTCAATATTAAGTGCCTTAAGGACGAACAGAAGCTTTTTCCACTTCAGTCCCATATAAATGAAGTTGTGGAGAATATGTGTAGACTCCAATAGGAATGCATTTGGCATGGAAACTTCATAGTGAAACCAAAAGTAGATAGTGGGTTGATGTGATGTTCCTCACGTGCTTCTTTAACAATTGCTGATGGTAGCAATCAAGTTGAAAGCAAAGCTCATAATTCAAAGAGGTGTTATCGTTTGTATACCTGACAGTTCATCACTTACTGAATTTATGTAGACGCAAAACCCCACTTTGAACTTTAAGGAAATACTAAATAAGAGTTAATGAAAAAGCAGTACGTCAGCCTTACAAATCACAAAGAAAATATATTCCCTACTTGATTCCTCACTCTATCCTTCTGAATTCCTCAATGACTTACTACATCTGAGTATGCATAGCATACCGTGTTGTCAAGGCCCTAAACTTGCGTTAACAGGGTCTGTGCTTTAGCGCCAGTTTTGAGTAAGCTTTTGTCTTTTTATGTAGTCATTTAACCTCATGTGCATTAGCATGAGGGTGTGTCCCAAAGATAGAGGCGGTTCTTATTTGTTCCCACCACTGAATCCACGGAGTTGTAGTGGCCATCTCCCCGCGTTAGGCACACCCTATTTAAAAGTCAATCTGAACGAAGAATATTCTTTTCAATAATTTCTCTTTGTACTAGCCACTCACCTGACACCTTTTATAACCTTGAGCTGACTTGCCAATTTTCCTACCCCACACTCTACAAATCTATTATGATTAATCACCATTGTCTCCCGTTTTACAATATTTTGTAATCGATTTCAGCCTAGCACGTTTGTCACACAAATACGACTATTTATTTTGACACCCCATAACTAATCTGTTATTCTACGTTAAGAATGTATCTGCCGCATAACTGGCTATCATTATTGTAATGACAACAAATATTATATCTTTATAATAGTAAGAACCTGAAGAGAAATTATTGAAAAGAATATTCTTCGTTCAGAGTGACTTTTAATTCATGATATGGGAATTTTCCACACTACCAAATATTATACCCTTTATACATGATGTATTAACTCACTGGAATTCATGGTATGAATGACTGCTTTCAATAGATCATCTTGCATGCCTAGCCTGTTCCAGCCTTAAGGTTTTGATCTACTTCTTAGTTAAAAATAAATGAAAACGAAAGAGTGAAGGAAAATTTAGGAAAATCACACCGTGGTGGCACATTTCAATGTGTAATTATATATTACAGTGCTTACGGAAGTAATCATACAAAGTAGTCCTCTACATGATAGATGTTCACATTCGGCAGCTACTGGTGCAGTGTGAGAGGTGGCGGCGTCGAGTGGTTTGCTAGCTTCAGCTGGCTTTGATGCGCTGTTAGTATTTCTCCTAACCGCTGCAGATGTCATGCGATGAAAATGATAAAATGATGGCTGTAGATGACTTTACAAGGCTGAGGCCTCTTTAATCTCGTCCACTGTCTTTTTGGGTGAAAGCGAAAACAAGCATGGGGACATGCAGTGTCCGCAAGATGCTTGAATCTGCGATGCTTACTCAGATCGAAAAAGAGATAAAAAGATGAATCATAGGAGTTCTAGGGACATGTTAGAACACATACAATCGAAGTAAACATTGGGCGCGTCAGCTATATACGTTGTTATAATACACTATTACATATCACATTATGCGGCAACATGTGACTAGAATATTTTGGTTTCGTAGATTATCAAAATAATATTATTCTAAATTAGAATTCAATTTGCTGCTCAGCTTTGCATATACTAATAGCCTGAAATTATGGCAGGCAGCTTGGTACGCCTCAGATACAGGAGCTGTTCCATATGGTAGTAGAGTGCAAAGTGAATGGCAGAACTGGTATTGCAAATATCACTTCATGACTCCCTAAACTTTGGTTTCCTGCACAATCATATTGCGACTTTCTGCTATCTCTCTCCATTTTTGAATGTTTTTTCCTCAGTAAACTTGCTTTGTTTTATAAGATTTTCCCCTATTAGTTTATTTTCGCCCACCTTGTAAGATCCACTCACAACAACACAATCACCGGCCAACGAGATTCCGTCATAATAGGGTCAAGATATGCGTTATCACGTTTCAAATTTACCTCGCTTCGGGTTTTCTCGTCTTTCATCGGCTTGAACAGTGGCGGTCAAGTGGATTTTTGATTTGTCATAGGTAGGTGCTATCGTGTGCTGTATTGTGTGGTTGTATTATGCGTGGTTAGCAAGCAACTGTGATGAATATAAATGTAACACTTAACTATTCTAACGTTGTTTCACTGTTTTTTATACAGATGCAATACTCTTTTCGTTATAAACTCTCTTGAAACTGGTTAGGTATTACGGTGATTATCAGTGACTACAATCCCGCGGGTCTCAACGTATCTCTTGAGTTGTGGTTGAACATACGTTTTTTTCTACTTCGATATTTCTCACTTATATAGTCTGGTATCCTGTGTTTCTTGTGAATTAACTGTGACAAGCTGTGACAATAATGTGCTTCGTTTACGAAGCCTTTTTATAGAATTTCATCGCACGTAATCAGTGCGAGGAGAAGCAGCACATATTTAAGAAGCTGCAGACACATTGGAAGACTTTCAAAAAGCGAGGACCTTATAAATTGCTAACATTGACGACTTTTTTCACATACCAGTATGTGGCTACGTTCGCATGCAAAGGGTAAATCGGCGAATGAGACATCGTGTAGTAGTGAGACAACATTCTGGAACTTTCATCTAGCGTGTATGCTTCTCTCTGAAATTTTTGTCCCCCAGACCACCAACAAAGTATTCTTAAATGTATTCTTGTAGTATGATTCGATGGCGCAATTACGAGAAGTTAAAAATATTACTTACGCGTTGTTAATTCTTTTCCTACCTGTTCATTCTCAATCTTTCCTTTGTTGAACATTATACTACTTGCCATTAGTAAGTAGTATGATTTTTATATGTTAATTTATAACAATGACATTTGCTTACAACTGCAGTTAAATTACTTGTTCTATTATCATTCTATTAATGTATAGTTCTTATTTTTCTTCTCCTTAAACATTATTTGCTGACCTTACCCTATAGTGTATGCTTTCATATTGGAAGTTGTTTGTTCATATTTGTTTATTCTTTGCTTGGCATTCGCGGGCCGTTTGAACCGACACGTGGATCGACCTTGACACAGCGTTGCTGTTTTTACTT